GAATATTTGTGAGCTAGAGGGTAGGTTGAGAGGTTTGTGAACGCATGTTGAATCTCCCCCACTTTTCCATATATGTTAACCTTCCCTTTTCGCATTATGTGCTGTTTCTTCTTCTTATTATCAGCTCTACGAAGTGTGTCTGCTACTGAGATTTTTACTGTTTATTTCTTATATTTTTTTAGTTCCGACACAACACCTATATTTCTTTGTCTTTACACTTTTGGTATCTGCGAGTATCGTTTAAAATATTATCCAAAGTCTCTGTGGATTCGACCTCGTTTCGTACTACAATCGACAATTTCGTGTATACTTGCATGTGTTGTTAGCACAGTTGTGAGAACGCAACACATGACCCCAACATCCATGAAGACGATTAAACAATCATTTTATTTATGTTTTGAAACAAGTTGGAAATGGGAACAAGAATAAGAATCTAGTTTTTGTTGTTTCTAAAATTTCTATACAATTTTAAGTATGTTCCAAAAAAGGAGAAACCATAAATTACATAGTTAGTTGCAAAATACTTAGATTTCTTTAAAAAAATTGGAAACAAGAAACAAGAAACGATAACATTACCAAACGGGCCTTAAGCTATCACAATAAGTATATATGATACTTATTGGCTTTGGCCATAATGAAATATCTTCAAAAAACAATTTGAAGTCATTATGSTTCTTCTCCAACTTTATTGAGAGCTATAAACTTTGATTCCATAGTAGATCGTCTTATGCATGTATGTTTTGAGGATTTCCATGTCACAACTGCTCTGCCTAAGCTATGTATATACCCACCGATTGATTTAGACTTCATACTATTAGAGATTCAGTTAGCATCACTAAATCCTTTCAGTAGATGGATATCTCGTACAATGCAGTACATAGTCTAGGGTGTACTTCAAGTTCTTTAGACAGATGCTCTCAATGTAATCCTCGCAAATAAAAAGAGAAAAAAGAATGAGAATTCTTGGGGAGGGAGAGGAAACATTGAGCATTCAACAAATAAAGGTTCTAGTAACTATATATAGCCGTAAAGATCCGCAACTCCTTAACTAAGAATTCATTGAGAATTAACATGAATTAATGTAAGAAATCAAAACAAAACGTAACAAAAATGTAATTCTTCAACACATTTGTAACAAAAATTCAACATACCTCAATGAGAGGGGATCAATTAGCGTTAAAAGACATGCATCCAACAAAGGCCTCCGGCCCTGATGGGGTTCAAGCTATTTTCTACCATAAGTTTTGGGACATTGTGGGAGAGGACACGATCAGAATTTGTCTTAATTACCTCAATGAGAGGAGATCGATTGATCATTTGAACAAAACCTATATAGTCCTTATTCCTAAAGTCAAGGATCCGAAGACTATGAAGGATTTCAGACCCATTAGTCTTTGCAATGTTGTTTATAAGTTGATTGCTAAAACTCTGGCCAATAGAATGAAAAAAAGTTTTAGATGGGATTATTTCGCCGACTCAATCAGCTTTTGTAAATGGTAGGCTGATCACAGACAACGCAGTGGTGGGTTTTGAGTGCATCCATTCTTTGAACAACAAAAGACAGGGAAAGGACGACTATGTCACCTTAAAGCTCGATATGTCTAAAGCCTACGATAGAGTGGAATGGAAGTATTTGAGGAGTATTATGGCTACTTTGGAGTTCGCTAAGTGATGGATCTCTTTAATCATGGGCTGTGTGGAGTCCGTTAATTTCTTTGTCCTTATTAATGGGGAGCCTGGCCAAAGCTTTCGACCCAGACGAGGACTGCGAGAGGGAGATCCTCTATCCCCTTATCTTTTTCTTTTATGTGCAGAGGGTTTATCTACTCTTCTCAACTGGGAAGAGAAGAAACACTACTTCACGGGTTTTAGAATCAATAAACATTGTCCCACCTTAACTCATCTTTTTTTTTGCAGATGATAGTCTGATGTTCTTTAAAGCAACAGGGTCGGATTGCCAAGCAATAAAGCGAATTCTCAATGTATATGAACGTGCTTCAGGATAAACTATTAATTATGAGAAGTCTTAGTTTATGGTTAGCAAGAATACCAAGACCGCGTTAATCGACCTTGTTAAGGAGAAACTCAATGTGTCCTATACCAGTCAATTGGGGCATTATCTCGATCTACCCTCCCAGCTCTCTAGACATAAATGCGGAGTCCTCAACTATATCAAGGATAGAGTTTGGAAAGTATTGCACGGGTGGAAAGGAAAGTTTTTTTCGGCAGGAGGAAAAGAGATTCTCATTAAAGCAGTTGCTCAAGCAATCCCTAATTATACGATGAGTTGATTTAAGCTCCCTTCCAACCTTTGTAATGAGATTAATGGCCTTTATGCTAAGTTCTGGTGGGGCTCATCTCAGGATCGAAGGAAAATTCATTGGCAAAGCTGGAAGAAACTATGTATCCCTAAAAGCGAAGGTAGTATGGGATTCAAAGAGTTGCCAGCTTTTAACCAAGCTATGCTTGCTAAGCAAAGTTGGAGGATTATGAAAAATTAGAATAGCTTGTTATTTATAAAAGCAAAGCTTGGAAATAATCCCTCCTATACTTGGCAAAGTATTCTATGGGGACGAGAGCTCTTTGCGAAAGGCTTTCGTTGGCGGATAGGCAACGACCATTCGGTCTCTCTTGGTGTAGACCCTTGGCTCCCAAGAAATGGTTGCTATAATCTCTTATCTTGCCCACGTCACATGAAAGAAAACAATATGGCTTCAATCATGATATTTAGAGGGTTTTGGAACGAACAAACGATTCGAGCCAATTTCATAGACTCCGAAGCTAATCTTATTATCAATATTCCTATTCCAAGGAGGGACGTGGAAGACGAAGTTATTTGGGTTCCAGATAAAAAAGACTTTTTCTCTGTAAAAAGTGCCTACTATTTAGACACTGCTGACCAAATGAGAGAAGAGGCAACCTCCTCTAACAATGACTTACAGAGGCGCACTTGGAATTGTTTATGGAAATCTAAAGTCACCCCAAAAGCAAAGATTTGTTGCTGGAAACTCTTGACTGATATTTTACCTACAAATGTTAATTTGTTTAAAAAAGGTATTCGCCCTGACTTTTTGTGTCCTCTGTGCAGGAAATATGAAGAGACGGCCAAGCACCTTTGTTGGGAGTGTAAGGTTACGAAACCTTTATGGAATTTTTTTGTGGATTGTGATTTTGGCTCTGTTTTTGGTGACAGGTTGATGCAAACAGGCAGAGATTATTGGGACTGGATTGTGATTCATTCTACACAAGAAGTGATTAACAAAACAATTTTCATGGTGTGGCAAATATGGACTTTTCGAAACAAGGTGGTGTTTGGAGGCGAGGATCCCAACCAGCAAATTTTGGCACTTCACATTGACAAGCAAATCCATATCCAGGAAATTTCTACTCATAATCACAAAAGGGACAACAACTTGTGCTCAAATTCTAATTGCATGATAAGGCATAGCCCGGACCCAGCAACAACGTCAATTCAAGCACAAGTTCGTGAAATCTGGTCCCCCCCTTTAAATATCTGGAAAATGAACTCTGATGCATCCTGGTTTGACGACCAAAATCGGGGTGGGATTGGATGGGTGATTCGAGATTGGGTTGGAGAAGTGTCCTCGTCGGCAATGCCTCTGTTAGGGAACAGAAAAGCATCAAGTTCTTAGAAGCCTTGGCGATTTTGGAGGGATTAAGAAGCATCAGTAATGAAGACCATAAAGAGATTTATCTGGAGACGGATTCGTTGGAGATGGAGAAGTTGTTGAACACGCCGACGCAGATATCACTGAAATTTATTGCATTGTTGATTAAATTAAATCCCTCATGGTGAAAAAATCGGTGGTCTCTATCACTTTCATCAAAAGGGAAGCAAATTCTTTGGCTCACATGGTTGCTCGTCGGGCTTCGGCAATGGGGGTTTCTATTTGGCATGGGATTACCCAACTTCCTGGGTGTGCCACTTGAATATTTATTTTTAGCCTGTTTAGTTCCTTTATGTCAAAAAAAAAAAAATCAACATACCTAGAAGATGAAGTTGCTGATGTGGAGACGAATTACCGTTTTGGATCAGAAATTATTCATAGGGAGTTAGCTGGGGGTGAATTAGTCTCAATTTAGAATTTCTTTTAGAGGAATGGTTGTTCAAGATTAATACAGCTCTGGATCATGGTGCTCTTGAGATAAATATAGATGTTCCATGTCGTGTGGAGAAGTGCAAAACTAAATGTAGAAGTTTGTGTTCAAAAAATTATTCCTAAACCTCGTTAGATTTCGAGGGTGAGATTCTAATTTCTAAATCACATTGCACGTAAAATTCTCTCATTTATAGTTAGAGAGATTATTCTTTAGGCTGGTTTTCTTATCTTTCCTCTCAAATGGTTTCTAATTAATATAATGAAGATGAATATTTTTTTATCAAAGCAAACATAGCTCAGTCATAATTAATATATATCTCCAATCAAGAGTTTGTGAGTTCGATCTCCACAAAATAAGATGGATCTCTTTTAATATAAAACTTTCTTCGATAATTTTTCTTAATGAAGTCATTTCAAATATAGATTTGATAAGTCAAAATATTAGAAACATCCTTTAAATTTAATGGATCTCTTTTAATATAAAGTTTCGATAATTTTTCTTTATTTCAAATATAGATTTAATACGTCAAAATATATGAATTAGAATCCTCCTTTGAACTTGGGGTAATTTACACATAATATTTGAATTGTAATCCTAAAA